CAATGTTCTTTTGTCCAGTTGAACTAAATTGGCAATAGGAATATCCACACATAGTAACTAGAATAAAGAGAGATCTCATTCTAACTGAATGAATTCTACCTTGATTGTGCGGGCTTTTATTTAGAGAAATATCGGAAAGCTTTCAAAAATTTTATTACAGTTTCCCATTTTTCATAAGTTTTTTATATGTTCGTTGATCTTTTGGATTACTTCCTTTCAGTTATTTTTGAGACAATTGAATTGTCAACAATGTTAAAAAAACATCGTAAAACCTTTATTAGAAGGGCCCTTTTAAAGAAGGACCCTCCGAGAAGCATACTTGTCGACGGACCGGCTGATTACTCGCTTCAAAATTAAAATTGTAGGAAAAACAACATACCAGGCGATAGAGAGCGAGTTTTACAACCTCCAATAAGACTCGATTAATCAGTAACCGGGTGCTGACCGAGATTCAGTAGCCATGCAGCGCAAAAATCGTCGGTCCGGTTAAAACATGCCGGCTCGAGCCATAATATTGGAGGCTCTCTGAGCTCTATTATCTGATATCTGCTACGCTGTTTTGCTCACATTGTCAATTTTGAACCAAATCATTTGAAGCGAATCATGAAAAAATAGCGAATAAAACATTGCGCATTTTGATGCAACTGTTATTAGGAATTAAGATATTTTGTTCTATTATAATAAGATGTTTTTAATACACTCAAAGCTCAGTTTGTGAGAAAAAAAACTTGAAAATTCACTCTGCAGTAGTATTTCGACTTTCCACTTCCGACCAAAATCTGGTCCGCTATACAGCCGTTTTTGAGCAAGTTCCGTCCAGAGCCTAGCCAGTACCCTTCCAAAACCGGAAATCCCAACTTCTGACACAAAAGTTACGAGCCAGCAGCCGAGTTGATGAAAATACAGTTTCACCAATTTTCAAGGCATAGAAATAGTGTGATTCAATTAACAACAATTCTCAAAGAATACATTCATTGAACAGACAATAAGAAATTGTTTTTAAACGCAAAGTCCTGTAGATTTCTCGCATTTCGTTTTCGAAGGACACGAAGAGCAAGTTTTTCCACTTTTATAGATATCCTGACCCATGTAGTTCCCTCTGAAATTTCAAAATATTCATGAGAGACGATTTTAGTTTTTTTAACTCACGGCCCCTTGTACTGACAAACAACAACCACTTTGTACATGCCATTCTTTGTCTTATCCTTTCCACAATTCTTCACTCCACATCCGATTCCTCCTGTGTTAGCCCATGCCATTTGCGTAGCATGTCCAACTCCAGATCCAAAAAGTGCTCTGTCCATCTTATTAGTCTTCCATCCATACTTTCCAAATTCACTGGACCAGGCATCAGAAGCACGAAGTCCGAATTCATTCAAATCTTTTGGAGAAGATGTCGACCAACGCCAATAGAGATTCTCTCCGTATCCAGTTCCCTTCGAATGTCCAGTCGGACATTTGTTGGCATAAGATTGAGCTGATGTAGCTACAGTTTTATCCCATTTCTGAAATTTTTAAATCAAAAGATAATTAATCAGAACTGACGATTTTGAGAATGTTGCTTCCGGCTGGTTTCTTAGTTCCTTTGACGATATATGTTCCTTTAGCAATTGAAGATCTCAATCTGTTGTGAGCATCCACAATGTTCTTTTGTCCAGTTGAACTAAATTGGCAATAGGAATATCCACACAAAGTAACTAGAATAAGGAGAGATCTCATTCTAACTGAATATCGAATGATTTCTACCTTGATTGAGCGGGCTTTTATTTGGAGAAATATGGAAAAGCTTTCAAAAGTTTTATTACATGTTCCCATTTTTCATGAGCTTATTAATTTTCGTTGATCTTTTGGATCATTTCTTTCAGTTGATGTTTGAAGTCAATAGAATATTGAAGAATGTTTCCAAAGAATTACCATAAAACCTGTATTAGAAGGGTCCCTTTGACAGGAGGACCTTCCGAGTACTTGTCGATGGGCTGGCTGATCGCTCGTTTCTAAAATTGAAATTGTGGACAAAACAACATACCAGACGATAGAGCTCAGCGAGATCTAAATTTTTTAATAATAATCGACACGCATTTTAATCAGTTACAGGGTGCACATTCAATAGCCGTACCGGGCGGAAATCGTCGGTCGGGTTAAAAAAGGTCGCCTCCCTACTCAGCAAATTTTCGGCACGCTAGGGCACAGAGGGGCACAGGATCCGCATCCTAACGGCACGGTGCCGCGTTCAAAGTGCCCGTGGAACACCGCACCCGTGCCCCTAGCGGGCCGCTACCGTGCCCCTTCCGTGCCGTTGCCGTGCCCCTTCTTGAACCATCTGCGCATCTCGTGTCTATACATGGAGTTTCGAAATTGATTAGCTTACGATTTATAATCATACATTTATGCATTTTTATTGTTTTATGTTATTTAAATTTGTTTTTTTTGTCTTTTTCGTTCGAAAGTCATGAAATGTATCACTTTTTAGTTTTCAGACAGTAGCCGTAGCAGATGTCGCGTTGGAAAAGACACCGGAAGAAAATCGGTGAGTTGGGAAATTCTCAAGTAATAGTAACATCGAAAATCTTTTCAGTTATGGAGTCGAGAAATGAAGATTTCGAACTGTGGAAGGATAATGAAGAAGAAGAAAGTAGTTTACGACCAGCAACTAGGAATACTACAAATGAAATGAGTAAGTGACCGAGATGTGAAAAACTGAACTATTTTGAAATGACAGTGTTCAAAATTTTTTGAAAGGTCATTGGTAGTTCCTATGTTTTCAGGTCAGGTGGATTTCGGTGAAAACTTGGAAGATGTCGATTATGATTGTCTCTTACCAATGATGAACTACGAAAGAAGAGAAATTCAAGACTTTGATATTCGAATTTCCGGCTACATCAACTTTGTGCTCTCAGAGGGACTATCAGAAAACTCTATGGATCGACTCGATGGAATGATGTCGGTTATTAATGGAGCACCACCGCCCGTATCATTGGGTGTTATCAAGCGAGAGTTGGAGCTGCTCCGTAACGAGGTTATTCTTGAAATGAACTTTTATTGTCATTGTTGTGGACGGAAGAAGAAAGGAAAACGAGACGAGTGCGAAGCATGCCTGAAACCTGAAATGATGCCTGAAACAAATGTTACATAGAGTTGACTGGACACAAATCTTTGGTTCAAGTTTAGACATTAATGACAAATATGATAATTTCCTCTCCTACCTTAATCATGTTTTTGAATGCACTGTTCCTTGGATTAGAGTAAATTCTGAATATGGAAATCTCCCCCAATACCTGATGTCGTTCAGTAAACTTGTAGACTACCTTTGGGAAAAAACGAAATTAACTAGAAGTGATTCTGACTTTGAACAATACGCCCTGATTACAAAAAAAATTAGGAAAAAATTGAAAAAATATAAAGGCAATGTTGAATTGCAAATTCTTCAGAAAAAAGGTGTCAGTCGGTTTTCTAAGTTTTTTAAATTTGTGTTAAAGAAGAAATCTGGCGAGACACCAGACTTCAAAAACTTTTCCGGAATAGTATTGAGTGAAGACTATGAGAAATCTGAATGTCTATCGGAGTATTTTGAATCACAATTTACAAATCCTAGTCCAACGTTCCAAGCCAATAATACCACAAAAAATATCCAGGAAATGATATGGGTATCTGAAGATGAAATTTATAAGTTACTTAAGAAAATTAAGAGTAATAATACACTAACCCCAGACGATATTCCTTCTAGTTTTTTAAAATTGACATCCATATATATAGCTAGCCCAATAGCACAACTCTGTAATTACTCAATGATGTCAGGAAAAACCCCGAAAAAATGGAACGAGGCGATTGTTATTCCTACAAAAAAAAATAGAAACTCCTTCTAGCCCAAGCCAATTCAGGCCTATTAGTCTCACTTCCGTTATTTGTAGAGTTTACGGAAGGTGTATCCTGAAAAGAATCAATGACCATCTAGCAAATAGTCAATTTTGGAGTGACAGCCAACACGGCTTTCGAGTAGGTAGATCAACAACTTCCTGTCTGTTAGAATCTTTAAATGAATGGACTTCTAGTCTTGAAAGAAGGGATCAGGTAGACATAATTTATTTTGATATCAGTAAGGCTTTTGATAAGGTACCTCATAATTTATTACTTGAAAAGCTGGCCTCTATAGGATTAAATTCATATCTTATAGAATGGATAAATTCTTATCTTAGTAACAGAACATTCAGGGTAAAAATCAATAATTATATTTCCTCGCCTAAGCAAGTAGTATGCGGAGTTCCTCAAGGTGGGGTGTTGTCACCAGTCTTGTTTTGTGTCTATGTTAATAGCCTGAGCGCAGAAATTTCATCGCCAGTGCAAGTAAAACAGTTTGCTGACGACCTAAAAATTTACTGCCCAATTAAAAAAGGAGACATGGGAGGATCTCTGCAAGAATCAATCAATAAAATCTATGAGTAGTCAATGAATGCTAAACTAGAATTAAATCTATCAAAGACCTGCTGCATCAGTCTTGGTAAAAACCCAAAATATATAAATTATTTCCTTGATAATGACAAAATTAAACGGGAAACTACAGTTAGGGATGTAGGATTTATAATCAGTGAGAGACTAGATTTCTCTAACCATTGGCAGAAAGTTATTAATAGGCAGAAATACGCTAGTTACTCTATTTTTAAAACTTATCATAGTAAGAACGTTAGATTAATGTCATTACTATATAAGGCTTTCGTGCGACCGTATTTGGAATATGGAACGGTGGTAGCCAGCCCTTCTAAAAAACTGCTCATTGACAATATAGAGAAAGTGCAAAGCTCCTTCACTAGAAAATTGATGAATAGAATAGTGGGTAGAAACTTAACGAGAATTGATAAGGATTACAAAACATCTCAAGACAGATTGACCGAATTCAGCCTAGAATCACTACAATCTAGACGGGAAAAGCTTGATCTGAAATTCTTCAACAAACTCATTCTAGGTAAAATTAATATAAATCATTTATCATATTTTAAAATTAGATCGACAAAAACGCGCAGCCGCCACACCTACCAATGGAAAACTCCAAAGTCTAAACTTAAACAAAACTTCTTCACACATAAGGTTCTTAGTAAAATGATGAGCTCTACAAAACGGATCTAAAAGCCTGCTGCTGTCAGAAGTTCGGAAAAAGATTTGTTATTATCCACTATTATTCATTTCTAGGTTAAGAAATATCAATTTTATGTCACCATGTCCCTTTTTGTCTATTTATTCTCTTTTTCATTCTTTTTTCTTTTTATTCTTCCACGTATTTTTTACGTAATAAATACAATACAATACAATACAATTGTTGTGGACGGAAGAAGAAAGGAAAACGAGACGAGTGCGAAGCATGCCTGAAACCAACAAGCAGACTCTCTGATACCGTAACAATGATTATATGTAATGTTCAATGGCAATTAATGAATATTCTAAAATATCACGGGAAAGAAATACTCTATGCGCATAAGAGGATTCATGAAGGGCAAGAAACTTTCCACGGTACAGACGTTAGACGTTTCTCCGGCTACCGTTGTGAAATGGAAACAAGAACGGAATATCAGAAGGGATTGATCAATCTTATTTACACACTTAGCTCCGACGGAGCAAGGTTCAAAAGGCTTTCGAAACGCGCAGCGATTCCTGTTTTATTGCGAGTGGAAGGTGTGGATGTCGAAACCAGAACTGGAGGGAAATGTCTTACTCTCGTTTCAATGACATACTCTGAAGGAGGAGTTCAGAAAAACATGCTGGATGCCTTTGTTAGGAGCAGCTTGGACATTTTGAAGGATATGGATTTACGCGTGGAAATGGATGGAACTACGATCACTTTCAGAATGACTTTAATGTCATACATTTGTGACATGAAGGTAACTTGTAACAATACAAAAAAGGGAACATAGAATGATCTCAGGAATCCTACGCAATCTCTGGACTTCCAAATTGGTACAATATAGAAGGATGCTCGAAATGCTCAATTACCGGAGTAAAAATTGGGAATGGAAAAGTATCGTCTGAAGATGAAATTTATAAGTTACTTAAGAAAATTAAGAGTAATAATACACTAACCCCAGACGATATTCCTTCTAGTTTTTTAAAATTGACATCCATATATATAGCTAGCCCAATAGCACAACTCTGTAATTACTCAATGATGTCAGGAAAAACCCCGAAAAAATGGAACGAGGCGATTGTTATTCCTACAAAAAAAAATAGAAACTCCTTCTAGCCCAAGCCAATTCAGGCCTATTAGTCTCACTTCCGTTATTTGTAGAGTTTACGGAAGGTGTATCCTGAAAAGAATCAATGACCATCTAGCAAATAGTCAATTTTGGAGTGACAGCCAACACGGCTTTCGAGTAGGTAGATCAACAACTTCCTGTCTGTTAGAATCTTTAAATGAATGGACTTCTAGTCTTGAAAGAAGGGATCAGGTAGACATAATTTATTTTGATATCAGTAAGGCTTTTGATAAGGTACCTCATAATTTATTACTTGAAAAGCTGGCCTCTATAGGATTAAATTCATATCTTATAGAATGGATAAATTCTTATCTTAGTAACAGAACATTCAGGGTAAAAATCAATAATTATATTTCCTCGCCTAAGCAAGTAGTATGCGGAGTTCCTCAAGGTGGGGTGTTGTCACCAGTCTTGTTTTGTGTCTATGTTAATAGCCTGAGCGCAGAAATTTCATCGCCAGTGCAAGTAAAACAGTTTGCTGACGACCTAAAAATTTACTGCCCAATTAAAAAAGGAGACATGGGAGGATCTCTGCAAGAATCAATCAATAAAATCTATGAGTAGTCAATGAATGCTAAACTAGAATTAAATCTATCAAAGACCTGCTGCATCAGTCTTGGTAAAAACCCAAAATATATAAATTATTTCCTTGATAATGACAAAATTAAACGGGAAACTACAGTTAGGGATTTAGGATTTATAATCACTGAGAGATTAGATTTCTCTAACCATTGGCAGAAAGTTATTAATAGGGCGAAATACGCTAGTTACTCTATTTTTAAAACTTATCATAGTAAGAACGTTAGATTAATGTCATTACTATATAAGGCTTTCGTGCGACCGTATTTGGAATATGGAACGGTGGTAGCCAGCCCTTCTAAAAAACTGCTCATTGACAATATAGAGAAAGTGCAAAGCTCCTTCACTAGAAAATTGATGAATAGAATAGTGGGTAGAAACTTAACGAGAATTGATAAGGATTACAAAACATCTCAAGACAGATTGACCGAATTCAGCCTAGAATCACTACAATCTAGACGGGAAAAGCTTGATCTGAAATTCTTCAACAAACTCATTCTAGGTAAAATTAATATAAATCATTTATCATATTTTAAAATTAGATCGACAAAAACGCGCAGCCGCCACACCTACCAATGGAAAACTCCAAAGTCTAAACTTAAACAAAACTTCTTCACACATAAGGTTCTTAGTAAAATGATGAGCTCTACAAAACGGATCTAAAAGCCTGCTGCTGTCAGAAGTTCGGAAAAAGATTTGTTATTATCCACTATTATTCATTTCTAGGTTAAGAAATATCAATTTTATGTCACCATGTCCCTTTTTGTCTATTTATTCTCTTTTTCATTCTTTTTTCTTTTTATTCTTCCACGTATTTTTTACGTAATAAATACAATACAATACAATACAATTGTTGTGGACGGAAGAAGAAAGGAAAACGAGACGAGTGCGAAGCATGCCTGAAACCAACAAGCAGACTCTCTGATACCGTAACAATGATTATATGTAATGTTCAATGGCAATTAATGAATATTCTAAAATATCACGGGAAAGAAATACTCTATGCGCATAAGAGGATTCATGAAGGGCAAGAAACTTTCCACGGTACAGACGTTAGACGTTTCTCCGGCTACCGTTGTGAAATGGAAACAAGAACGGAATATCAGAAGGGATTGATCAATCTTATTTACACACTTAGCTCCGACGGAGCAAGGTTCAAAAGGCTTTCGAAACGCGCAGCGATTCCTGTTTTATTGCGAGTGGAAGGTGTGGATGTCGAAACCAGAACTGGAGGGAAATGTCTTACTCTCGTTTCAATGACATACTCTGAAGGAGGAGTTCAGAAAAACATGCTGGATGCCTTTGTTAGGAGCAGCTTGGACATTTTGAAGGATATGGATTTACGCGTGGAAATGGATGGAACTACGATCACTTTCAGAATGACTTTAATGTCATACATTTGTGACATGAAGGTAACTTGTAACAATACAAAAAAGGGAACATAGAATGATCTCAGGAATCCTACGCAATCTCTGGACTTCCAAATTGGTACAATATAGAAGGATGCTCGAAATGCTCAATTACCGGAGTAAAAATTGGGAATGGAAAAGTATCGTTCAATGAGATGTATACGTCTCCACAGAGAACAGATGACTCAATTTTGTATAGTGCTGAAAAGGGAATCCGTGGATACACAAAACCAGGAGTGCCTGTTGTGTTCCAGTTTATAAATCCTTCGAAGTTAACGTTAGATCCTTTCCATTTGAGAGGTGCTGGTGTTTGCAAGTATATTGTTGAGGAAGTGACAAAACCAACTAGATGGAATACTCTTAAGCTGAAGCGAAAAGTTCTTGATGAAATGGCAGAAGCTCTCAATGACGTAAAAGAGTACACACTCGACCCAGTCAAAATGTTAAATCTGAAGAAGGTTGGAAAAAGCACCGGAAGAGAAATCGACAAACTGTCAATTCATATATCTGCATATCTTGGTTGGACAGAAGGGTGCGAGGATCCCGGATGGAATGTGCTCTTTATTGCTCTTTATCACGCACTGTTTTTTCTGGGATCCCACACGAAGTTCCCTTCAGCCCCCACATTCCGGACCAACTACGAAACGTCAAAACAGAATCACCACATTATCCATCTACACCGTCTCGTAAGAGACCACAGCAAGTAGACTTACGAGGTTCAAACCAACCTCAAGAAGTATCACCATCTATCCTTATTTCAGCATCTCTTGACGGATCCATCAAAAACGGAAAATTAGATATATTATCGGCCGGAAGAGCTCTTCACACTGCCTATCAATCTGGTCAATATGGGATTCCAGAAGATGTGGAATCTTTCCTAACTAAACATTCGCTAGACGTTCCACTCCCGAAACTTCCGCAATCAGTTTTTACAGGATTGACCCCAGAGGCTGGAGCTCTTCTCCATGGATATGGAATTGTTGTATGTTTTATTTGAAAGTTTAAAAAAGTACAATATAACGCTTCAGGCTCAGCTGTCGCTTAACGCTGTTCAAAAACTTCTCAGCGAGCAAAAATCGACCCAGAAAATATCCGGAGAACAATTGTTTGGAATTTCCGATGCTCCGTTTGCGGTTAAACTAAGATGTAATTATCCGGATTTCCCACCCTTTTCGGTAAGCCAGAGAGACGATAATAAAAACTTTTTTGCAATTCAGGGAAGCCAGATTGACATGGACTCCATCCCGCTGATGCGTCTTTCCCAACACACGTACGACTTCAGAACTATTTATTCGACATTCTAGGAAAGTCATGCACTGTTCAGACGGATATTCAGCGTTTTTGGCTCATTCCAGGAGAGAGGAAGACGTCATACGGAACACCGTCTCCGTTCCCGAAGGAACTATACGATAACCTCTACAGTAAGCTGACAATGAATGAAAACGAGCCAATATCCATCTTTCAGAGTTGTTTCTCGATTTTTTTCAACTCGATGATCAATTGTTCGACGAACCAGAATATCGGTCAGAGTTCGGAAATTCGAGATTGTTGAAGAACTATGCCACCGAAGAGGCTAAAAAGAAGAAATTCGTCCAAGTTTCGTCTGCTAAAAAATCGTTCAAAACTAATACGTTTAGAGCTCAATTTAAAAATGCTCTGTAAGTTATCTGTAATCTTTTCATTTAACAAATAAATTATTATAAGCAAAGAGCTTCGTCTAGGAACATTCATAATTGCCGATGGATCTTCACAAGGATACTTCGCAAGAAGAAAAGTGAGTTTCCATCCAATTTGTTTCGACAATAATCTTTAACATTCTTCCAGAGACACATTGCCAAGAGCAAGGCCCACGAAGCTGGAGAAGAGGAGGAGGAATCTTAATGTCGTCGCCATCTTCAACACAATCTGCGCAATATTCTCTACATTTTTGAATTTTCTCATCGTTGTTTTTTTGTTGTTGTTGCATTCCTAATCAAATAAACTGTTTGATTTAAGAAAAATCGATAAAATTCACCCGATTTCGAGAAAAAAAAATTCAAAAAACGGCACACATGAGCACGGATACGGCACGGCAACGGCACGCCAAATGCATGCGTGCCCCGACCCCCCGGGCACGATTACCGCGTTGCAGCGGCACCGGTGCCCCAAGTAGCGGCACCGGTGCCCCAAGTAGCGGCACATGTGCCAAAAATTTGCTGAGTAATTACAAACTTTGAGGCAACTTTTCGTGGTTCTTGAGTTCAAAGATTTCAAAAGTTGCCTAATGATAAATTGTTTATCAGAATATCAGAAGTGTTTTGTCCGTAGACACATTTTGATGTCTCTTATATGGACCAAGACAATTGAGCTTAAAGTTGATAGTGTGAGGGCCCTTCTATTACAGGTTTTACGGTATACATATCCCTACTCATTCAATTTGTTGAACCAATAGTTTCCCGAAGAATCCTGCTGTAAACTATTTATTCAAACGGAGGCAATGAATGACTACAAATTACCAGATTAGCAAAAAAAATTTAAATGCAGAGTCCGGAAGCTGTCTCACATTTGGTTCCAGTTGGGCAAGCAGAGCATGTTGCTCCAGTTGTGTAGATGTTCTGATTCAAATAATTTCCTCTGAAAATCAAAAAGTTATTATCAGTTAACTTATCAAAATTACTCACTGTGGCTTATATTGACAAACGACGGCAACCTTGTTCAATCCATTCTTTGGGTCCTTTCCACAATTCTTGACTCCACATCCAATGAGATTTGTTTTGGCCCAAGCCATTTGAGTGGCGTGTCCAATTCCAGTATTGAAGAGAGCCATATCGAGAAGATTTGTCTTCCATCCAAAATCTTGGAATTCTTTCTCCCAGGCAGCAGAAGCGGCAGCTCCGTATGAATCAATGTTAGTGATTGTGGCGGATGTCCATGACCAATAAAGATTCTCTCCAAGTCCAGCGGCTCCGGAATGTCCGGTTGGGCAGGTATTGGCATAGTTCTGGGCTGATGTAGCGGTGGCGGTATCCCATTTCTGAAAAATATGGACCAGGGAATAAGAGAAATTAGGAAGAAAGAAAACTTACCATCTTGAGAATATTGTTTCCGGCTGGTTTGGTTGTTCCCTTCGCCACATATTTACCCTGTGCAATTTTCGAACGGAGAGTGTTATGAACATTCAGGATAGCAGCTTGTCCATTGGATGTGAACTGAGCATATGCTCCTGGAAAAAAAGATAGTAAAAAAGGCTCAAATAACAACCACTAACCGATGAAAAGTGTAGCCAAAAGGAGAAGAGTCTTCATGGTGAAATGGAATTCTGAAAATGGAACCGGTTCGCTGGTTTTTATACGGAGACTTCATTTGTATGACCACCTGTCAGTGAACTATGCCTCAAAACGCGTAGGATATTCGTTTCTGGATGGTCATGTGGTACAGGTGTGTCAAACTTATGCTTGTTTGGCTGCATTGAAAAAATCAAACAGTCTGGGGATTACAAACTTTTGAACACTATCCAGCTCATTTTCAATGTGAAAAATGGAGCCATAAATGTAATGTGGGAGAATAGTAGATGACTGGGAAGCAATAACAATATTTCTTTTTTTATTTAAATAAGTTCGTCAGTTGGCGAAAGCAGCTCAGTTGTTAGTTTTTATTTAGAGAACGTTTAAGAGAGAGGATAATTTTCTGGAAAAATACAAGACAACAATATGATGAAAACGTTAGTTAGTCATCATTATCGAAACTGTTTTGGTATTTTGCAAACAAAGTTAAATGGTCTCGAGGTGATCTTTCCCTTCACTTACTCATACCCATGACGCCAATTTTAATCCGTTTACTAGACAGAGAGAAAAGATGAAATACATGAAAGCTGTAGAGCAAGTTCTAATTTCTGTTACTTATAATCTTACAGAATACAGTGTGGCGCACAGTTACTCGGATTGATAAGAACGGGTATATCTTGAGACATAGGATCTTGGAAGCACGAAAGTTGTTAGAAATATAAATTTACGTTCGATTCGAAGCTACTGAAATTTCTAAATAGATTCCTCAAGTCTAGGTATTGTTAAGATTGTCCAATGTTTTTTTAACGATGTTGTGCTTTTCATAAGATGAAGCAACTTTGATAAGCTCAAAGTTGATCAAAAAATTTCAAACTACCAGTATACAGATGAATTATTTGAATTCGTGTACTCCAAATTTGAGCAAAGTACAACGCTTCACTCAAATTTTAGGCTAGTACAAACTTTAGTCCAAGTAATTATGCTGCACCTTGTATGTACTATTTTCTTTTTAAACAATGTTTTTCTCAGGAAAACTTTCTGTTTTGTGGAATAGTCTGCAGAATAAGAAGAAAAACATGGGAATGTTATCTGAAAGGGATTCAAATTATTGGTCACTGGAGAATCCATATCTTCGGAAACATAGAGAATGATTTAATACTCATAAAATACATTAAAATTAAAATATCTTTACTACTAACAATCACCAAATTCTGTGTGTGTGTGTGTGTGTGTGTGTCCGTTTGTTCCCGTATCACCTTTCCTAGCGAAGTCCCGAATGGACCAAAATTTCTCAAATTTTCGCAGATGACCCGAAATAGCAGCGAGATGATGCCCGAGTATTTTATATTTCAAAATTTTGTTTCTGACGTCTTCTGGAGACGTTATTCTTTTTCTAAAGTGCAAATTTTTAGAAAAATATTGAAGAATTATTCACGTCATTTCCGTCTAACCGCCCAAATGTTTTTCTTATCCACGCTATTTCTGAGAGAAAGGTGATTTTGTGGAAATATTCTTTTAGCATGGGTTTTAAAGATTCGAAAGGTAGAAAAAATTCTGAAAGGTGGAAAAGAATGTGTATAAAAGGAAAAAAGGAAAAAAACAATGCGAGGAAAAATAACTTTCTGCATTACTCGATTTTTCAGAATTACACTCGAATTTTCAGAATTCAGAATAATTTTTAACATTTCCGAACTTAATTTCATAATTTTCAAACTTCGGAATATATAAATTTTGAGATCTTATTCACCGAATTTGCCGAAAAATTTCAAAGTTTAAGATTTTTTTTTCGAATTCTCAAATTTAAATTTCTGATTTTCCGAAGTTCTAAAAATTTTTCGACGAGAATGTGTTTCGAAAAGTTGAATTTCTGAATTTCCAATTTTTCAGGTTCTCAAATTTTAGTTTTTAAAAATTGTTTTTTTAATTCTATACATTTCGCGGACAGGACCGTCTCAGGCCAGCCCGGCGTTTAGTAAGTATGCGAAATTCGAAATTCGAAATTTTCCAATTCTCTAAAATCTGATATACTAAATTTCTATATTTGAGACAAACACATTCAAACACTTTTTTAGATTTCAAAATTAATGTTTTCCTACATCTGATTTTTTAAAAATTTACTAATCTCTGGACCTCCGAGTGTCTTACTTTTTCAATTTCCGGATATCCTTACTTCCGACTTTCCGAATTCTAGAAATTCTGAATAACCAAAATATCGAATTTCCAAATTTCCTAATAGAACATGAAAAATAGTCCCTGGAAAAATGACAAAATCTGTCTATAAGATAACGGGTACTGTAATCGGGAGCCGGGAGGTTCAGCCCGGAGGGGCGAAAACCTACTATTTTTGAAAATTTCGAAATTCAGAATTTTCCGCGAAGAAAATTGATAGTATGCAAAACTTTTACAAATTTTGGTGAATTCGGAAACTCAAAAATTTTGAAATTAGAAATTAAATTGTAAGGTACAGTAAGCGGAAGCCAGGAGGTTGAGCCCCCGACAGGGGACGTAAACCGACTGGTCTAACTTTCTTTTCAACTTCTCTAATTTTTATCATTTTTCTTTTTTTTTCTGAATTTTTACAATACAGGGTGGCTAATAAGTATTGAGACTTTTTTGCATGAGCACGGTGCCAAGGCAGATTTATGAAAACTTGCGATATATTTCGAAAGTAGGGGATGTATCTAAGAGGTTTCCATAATCATTTGTCCTCACTTTTTGTTTTTACTTTATCTGTGCGAGCTTCTTTGCACCATGGTAGGCTTTTCGAGCTCAACTACGAATGGAACTGGTTCTATGATTTTGAAAAAACTGAAGAATATGTCAATATGCTACGAAAAAGCAAAAAACCACGTTCTGGGAACAGTTTTAGAATTCGTGGGATCATTAAGAAGAAGATCAGAAGAAATAATGGAAAATATGAGAGAATCGCTTGGTACCAGTTGTGAAAGCGTCCAAATGATGGTTATAATGGACTAAAATTTCAAGAATCATCAGCTCTATCGGATACAATACCTTGCAGACCAGTCCGAAAAAAATCGGTTCGAAAAATCAAGAAGTTGCTCGAAAAAATCTAGATGGGCCGCACCTATAACGTTGTATGGATCTAGGAGGAGATCTTCACCTCTGAGTCGCTTCCAAAATGCCGGAAAAATCGGCAAATGTTGTTAATAGATGATTCGATATCTCTAAAACGTATTTTCGGATACATGAAGCTACTCCCATGGGTTTGAAGGATTTTTTACTTTCCTGAGTTACTAGCCACTCTAGTCAGAAACCATTTACTATGCAAAAAGATTCAGCACCGTCGATATCTACGATTTCACAAAATCGGCGATCGAAGCTTATTTTACGCGACACTGGGAGAAGGACTTCCGGCTTGTCTCATCGCCGGATCTCAAATCGCTAGATCTTTATTTTTGGGGTACATGGAGAGCAAGATCATGACTTGCTCTCACCCAAATTTCAATTTGATCAAGCAAGTACTTCTCAAGTTATGGAATGAAACAGACAGCAACTACCTGAGGCCCACAGTAACTTTTTTCGTGGACCATCTGAAGGCCTGCATCACGGCCAAAAGATCGAATTTCGTATATCTTTGCATATGAATATTCTTTTTGTTTTCTTCTATCACAAAATAAAGTTCATTTTGGTAACATTCCTCTTTTTTAGGTTTTATACCCAAAAACAAAAGTCTCAATACTTATTAGCCACCCTGTATATGTAGGCTGGCCAAAACGGAGTTTTCTGGCGCCACACGCCGCTTTTAATTTGCGGCGTGAATCGCCAGCAAAATTTTTCACAGGCATTAAACGCCAGGTTTTTAAAATATGAACTTTTCAATAGTAAATACTTCATAGAGAAAAGATTGAAAAAGAAAAAAAAACGACAGATGATCTGAAACAGTGAAATGGAATGAAATTGATATTTTTAGTCCTTCGAAATATTAGATTACTTCTTGAATTCTGTTTGAAATTTTGAAAATCTGGTGTCTGAAGCTTTTGAAAAATGTTTTCCGAAATTTTCGAATTTCCGAATTTTAAAAAGTCTATGGTTTGTGTGATTTAGAAAGTTTATGGATTTCATGAAACTCTAAACTTTCCTGAAAGTCTTCGAACTTCAAATTTTCAGGATTCAAGAATTTTTGAATTTCCTGGAAATTTCAGTGTTTTCATCGTTTTTCAAAAACTATTTTTGGAGTTCTGTACTGTCATGCTTTACATTTTTGAACGATCAAAATAGTTTTGATTCCTTAATTTTTGAATTTTTTCCTTTTTTTTTCAGAATGTTTCCCCTGAAACAAAGTCGATTTCAAATTTTTAGCAAAACAACAACTCACAAAGATTTGTAATGACATACGACCATTGCTCTATTGTAAATTGGTTGTTGAGGATCAGGTCCGCAATTCTTCACCCCACATCCAACAGACCCTGTAGTTGCCCAAGCCATTTGAGTAGCATGTGCTGTTGTAGTTTCAGTCGGATATGCGTTAGCCTTGTGAATATATTCGATTCCCATCCGAATCGTTGAAACTCTTGTTCCCATGCAACAGCAGCAGCTCCTCCATACACATCAAGACCAGCTATCGGAAGAGTTGTTCCTCGTGTGTAAATGCTTTCTCCAACACCAGGAGTATTGGAATGTGCTGATGGACAAGTGTTGACATATGCTTGAGCAGAAGCAGCCAATGTTGAATCCCACTTCTAAAATTTCCTTTTTTTGCTTGAAGTTTTTTGCAGTTACCATTTTCAGTATATTACTTCCTGCTGGTTTCGTGATTCCTTGTACTACATACGTTCCTTTTGATACTTTGGATCGGAAAGTGTTATGAATATCCACAATAAACTGTTGAGTGCTTGCTCTAAATTGAGCATGAACTACTGGAAAAACATCTGATTGACCAAAATTTTGTGTTCTTGGTTTCTATTCATTCGAAACTTTTCAAAAGTTCTGAATTTGTAACGTTCAAAAAGTACAATTATGGGAGTTCTAAAGAACTACATTTTATTTTATTTTTTCTATGTAAGCTTCAAAACGCTATTATCATCGGTGCAAACTCATGTCAAAAAGTATCACATTTTAAACTTTTCAACTGTTATCAAAGAAAAGTAAAGATCATGAACAGTCGTTAATATTTGGATATCGTCAAATAAGAAAGTGTCTCCTGTCTCGCACAAAAAACCAACATAGAAACGAAATCTGCACGTTTCTCTTTTTCGATATTGTCGAGAGTAGATCTACCGTATTTGCTCTAATAGAAACCCATCCTATACATTCACTTTGGCCTGAATTAATTTGGTTTTTTCAAAAGATATCAAAAAATGTTCAATTGATAAAATACTTTTGATATTACAATAGACATTTTGTCAGTTGACAAATTGTTGATATCTTTTACAATCACCGAGATATTTGGGCTAAAATTTGCCGCTTTGGGTGACCTCCTATTAGATTTCACTTTGTAGTTCAAATCTTTTAAATAGGGAAAACTATTTTATCGATGGAATGCAATTCATTGACAGTGGATAATAATTTGAATGTGAGGTGAAATGATCTAACTAAAAAATTAAACACAGAGTCCTGTGGCTGTCTCACAAGTTGTTCCTGTAGGACAAACAGAGCATGTTGTTCCACTTTTGTAGATGTCTTGTCCCAAAACGTTTCCACTGCAAAATAAGAATAGACTGTTGCTGTTCCTAATTAAAATCACTCACATAGACTTGTAATGGCATACAACTGTCACCTTGTTATAGTTGTTTTTCGTTGCATCAACTCCACAATTCTTCACTCCACATCCAATCAATCCGGTGCTTGCCCAAGCCATTTGGGTAGCATGTCCGATTCCAGTGTCGAAAAGAGCTTGGGTAAAAGCATTGGATGTCCATCCGTCAGTTTGGAATTCTTGTTCCCAGGCGACAGCAGCAGCTCCTCCATACACATCAAGACCAGAGAATGGGAGACTCGACCAACGCCAATACAAGTTCTCTCCAGTTCCAGCTAAGTTAGAGTGTCCGGTTGGACAAGTGTTCGCATAGGTCTGGGCAGATGTAGCGAGTGTGGTATCCCATTTCTAAAAATTGAAGATAGTGAAAGTTATATGAGTAAGCTCTGACCATTTTAAGAAGATTGGTTCCAGCAGGTTTCGTTGTTTCCTGTGCGACGTATGTTCCTTTGGCAATTTTCGATCGAAGTGTGTTGTGAATATCTACGATGAATTGTTGAGTGCTGCTTTTGAATTGAGCATAGACTCCTGAAAAAAGAAAACTGAATTTTCAAACTGATTGCCACAAACTAACCAAGTTGAAGAGTCGCCAATAGAAAGATCGTAGTAGTATGCATGTTTGAAAGCCTGTTGAAATCTGAAAATACTCTCTCAATAGGATGATATTTATACGAGCATTGTTTGTGTGTGTCCAGCTGCTCCGTGAACTCTGCCCGAGACGAGAAGAGAAAAGGCGTAGGACTAAGCACTGACTAGAGTATGCTCATGTGAGATAATCAGGCTTTTTTGGGATTGGGAGTTGGTTACAATCGACAAATAAAACAAGAGTTTGAGAGTTGTTGAAATGAAAAATGGGAAGGTCAATAGAAAAGGAAAATTCAACAATTGCATAATCCTTTTACCGTTAGAAGGGCTGGTAAGAATATTCATTTTTTCAACGGATTTCGTAAAGTTCAAAATTAACGGTTCTCAATTCTTCAGAAACGAGTAAAATATGCCAAATTTTTATACAGCAAAACCTGCGATAGAAGGGCCCCCTGACTTTTAAATTTGAGCCAATTTATTTTGATTTCTGTTAAAGATTCAAAAAAGTGTGCATTGATAAATTTTTTATCATATTATCAAAAGTATTTTGTCTGTTGACACATTTTTCATATCTCGCAAAAGAATTGAGATAATGGAGCTCAAACTTGGCTGTGTAGGAGCTCGTCGGTACGGTATGCTCTCATAAAATCTTTCACAGAATAGAAAGAATATTTTACGTTCACATCTTCAAATTTTACAGCTCTTCTGTATAAAAAAAGCGGCTATTCGAATAAATTCAATACAAGTCATATAATTCCAGCTCTGGCTTGGAGTATTCAAATTTTGAAAAGTCAAGCCTATTCCACTTCAAGCAACTAGCACAAATGTATAATTAGCGGTTTCAATGACTTTGAAACTATGGTCAAATTTCAAATCTATATAAAAATGGAAACAAACTTTCACTGGACTGAAACCTAACACAAAAAGATCAAATTCAGTGTTATATTTATGTGATCTGGAGTAGCTTATCCGATGACTAGTTTAATACCGATTGATCTTGATTTTTAGTTTTTTCTTTACTAAACACGTAATAGGCAGTTTTCTCCGTTCGCGGCCTTACCAAATCCTTCCGGTTTCAGACTGACTAGATCAAAGTATATATTTTTTCGAATGGGGTGATTGAAATTGGTTTAAAAAAACGTCGTTTATATACAGAAGATCAAAACACATAAATATATTCAAACACAAAGACCAGTACTTCTTTCACATGAATAACCGGATGGGCAAGCAGAGCAAGTTTGACCAGAGAGGTAGATGTATTGGTTGCGGTAGTTTCCTCTGAAAAAAAATTTGGGCAATCATCATGCTTTCAAGAGACTTATGTCTAACATGTACCCGTTTTCATCAGTTTCCTGATAATTGTGCGCCACCCTGTTGATGTAAACAATGAAAACCTATCACGCTTTCAAGACACCCAAAGCACATTCATGTTATTTTAGACAACAATATGTTCTCTGTCATTGTGTGCGTGATTTATAATCACAGACAAATATCCTAATTTAATACACCACTCACTGAGGTTTGTACTGACAGACAACGGTTACTTTGTTCAGCCCATTCGTGTCTCTTCCACAGTCTTTGACTCCACATCCAATCAAGTTTGATTTAGCCCAAGCCATTTGAGTAGCATGTCCGATTCCCGTGTTAAACAAATCCATTGTTAGAAGATTTGAGCTCCATCCATAGTCTTGAAACTCTTTCTCCCACGCAGCAGAAGCAGCGGCACCCTGAAATAAAATTCAAAATTCCTGACGTTCTGAGAATTTTCTTACATATTGGTTGAGGTCTCCAAGGGATCCACTAGTCCAATACCAATAAAGATTTTCTCCGAGTCCACCAGTTCCAGAATGACCAGTCGGACATCGATTAGCGTAAGATTGAGCAGAAGCAGCTACCGTAGTATCCCATTTCATTTTCAAAATATTAGTTCCTGAAGGCTTCTGGGTTCCTCTGGCGACATAAGTTCCCTTGGCAATTTTGGAACGAAGAGTGTTGTGAGCATTTATGATTCCGTTTTGTCCAGTGAATCCGAAATCAGCATAAGAGCTAATAAAAAGAGTCAAAAACAATAAAAGTTTCATTTCCGAAATGGACAAAAACGATCAAGCAAACAGAATTAGTAAAATGCATTTCTCTATCACTGCCTGTCGTATGTTTTATAGAAACTGTTATCATGTGGTTTAACCTAAAAGATAACGTAATAACTTTTGAGCTTTTCACGGACGGAAGTGGGCGGGACAGAGAGACCGGAGGTTATAATTTGTTTGTAATTAGGAAGAAGTAAAGGCTAGTCTTGCATTTATGTGTGAATTTTTAGTTGGAAGTATGATAGACATAGAAATATGAGGAAGATGAAAATAGTAAACTGCTTGGGTAATTTTCGGCGAAAGTTGGTCATCATGAACCTATTTTGTTGCCATGCAAAAATCTGAGCTGTGGAAGAGAAATGGCGTGGCCGAAGGTCCCACAACGACAACTACCGTAACCTAAAAATATTTTTATTTTCAGGACCCATTTTCTTGATTTTCGTACTTTTTTCCTCTTCTATAGCTCCGATTTTTATACCATAAGAAAACGAAAATTTTTTTTTCTTCTGAAATTTATTTTATTTATAGAACCATGATTTTTAAAATTTGATTTTCTCCACTCTTAGGAGGTTTAGGACTTCAAACTTCTTTTGATATACTAAAAAGTGTGTGGAATTTCATATTTTCACATGCTTCTCAAAAAAATTTCTAAACTTGAAAACATGCGCCCGTCCAAAGTACATATAAGCAAATTTCGAAACTTTCCAAAAATTTTCAGGAAAATTTTTTATTGAAAAAAATAGTAAAAATATAAATTTTCACACAATTTTAAATATAACAAAAAACATTTCGAGTTTTAAAACCCCCTAGGAGTGAAGAAAATCAAATTTTAAAATTGCCGATTTTACACTGAAAGTGATTTTTTGGTACTTAAACTGAAATTTCAGCACTTTCGAGGTTTTTTAAGCACATTTTGAAAATATAAAATTTTTTGTATAGGTTTTCTAACATTATCATCCTGTAAAGTTAATTTGTGCAAATTAAAGGGATAACTTAAAAGGTTCCCTTGTGAGTCAAATTATATCCATTATCAAAACATCACAAATTTCAACTAAAACGTTGTAGAAATTCATTTAATAATAATAAAAGGACATATTTAATACTGAAATATTTTTAAAGAAAGAAAGAAAAAAGACATTTACATGAAATGCATATAGAATTGGAATAGGATAATACAACGAAACAATTCGCAATTGAATATAGAATGCAATCACATCTGGTGCTCGACAAAAATATGTGTCTTCCTATTCTTCAGAATCCTGGATGATTGCTCCAACGTAGCCGTCGTAGAACTTTTCGAAGAATGATTCAGTTGTTAGTGAATCACAGCACGTATCGAATGATCCAAGCTCAGCGAAATACTGTCGAAGTTCCTGAAAAAAACGATCCCACTAGATCAATGGTTAAGTAACCCACTTCCTTCCGTTCATCTGTAATCAATCCCTCCGGACATATCGGATCGTCTGTGAGACTGTTGGCAATGTAAACAATCCACATTAAGTTGGTTCGACGATTGAAAGTCATCCATTCTCCTCTGAAAGAAAGAAACTTTTTGTTGTATTCATTGTAATTTACAAATTCACCCGTTATTCTCTCGCATTTGACGATAAACATCGAATTGCGGATTTCCCTCTCCCTTAAATATATCGGGATCGTTTTCGAGATCAAGGTAGACGGTTGTGCCTTCTGAAAATTGACGAAAAGACTTGTAGAACTTAGAGAATCGAATTGGATTACCTTTTGAGATTCTACTCAATGTGAAGTCGATAATGCTCACTTTGAGTCCATGTGTTTTTAAAGCGAACTTCTCATTATTAAACTTATAAAGCACTTCCTGATCTCCATTCCGATCGATCAAAATGTTTCCAAGATGCAAGTCTCTATGTTCGAACGAGAGAGCTTCTTCAGCAACCATCATGGAAATGATAATTTGATGAAGAATCGAAAAAATCTCTTCCTCGCTTTTCAAAACAAAGTCTTCAAGTGCAATTCCTCCATTTCCCGAGACGAAGACAATCGATTTCTGCTGCTCTGATGAATAGATCTTCGGATGAGTATTCTCGGATTCTTTGACTGTTTTCGCGTAGCGTTCCCATGCTTTCAACATTCCAGATGGAAATTCTCCGACAACGATTTCTGCTGAAATCAATTTAATGAAGTTCGGTGTTGAGTGTACTCCATCCATATCGCGAAGCTGATTCAGCTCTTTCATCACGATCAACTCAGGAAGAATTTCGTCTGCCGGTTGCATCTGTTCGGAATGATATTCTCCAGTGTACAAACGATTATTTTTGTCTGCTTCGAATGGAACAACCTTGATTGCCACTTTTTCCCCATCCCAGTTTGTGGCAAACACTTCTCCGTAGGAACCTTCTCCTAGCTTCTTAATCGTTCGAGGTTTGAAGGCTGTTTGCGGTAAATCATTCCATGTTTTGATTTCTTTTTGTCCAGCGACGTGAAGGAGTTGGAGCATGGTCGTCGGCTCCACATGCACTGTGGCATCAGCTAGATAGAAAGGAATAACACTTTCATCTTCATGACGAATCGTCATCGCTGTCGGCGCATTCCGTGACTCAGCTCTCGATTCTGTGAGATTCGATTGTCCCAAATCATCTCCCAGTGTATCCATTAGTTTCTGGTCCAATGACATTTCTTCCATTGCACTCATGATAGAATCGTTGTTAGAACCAATAGACATAGTTGACTGGCGGGGGCAACGAGATTCTCTATCTAGTTGTCTTTTCTGTGGTTGCAGAGTTCCTCGTTTTTTCACTCTGGCTGCTTCTTCTTCTTTATCATTTACTCCACTCATCAAGTCTAATCCCAGATCTAAACCATCATTCTGTGTGTTCATTAGAGTGGATGCACCTTGACACATCGTCTCTGGACTTGCGGTTCTCTGGCGCTTTTTTGCGTATTTACTCTCATCTGGTTGCAATTTGGAAGCTTCATTGTCTTCTTCGGCGTCTTCGAGCAACTCCGTAACCGACGTCTCCGCTTTTCTATTGATAGAAGACGACAATTTTTCAGGTTCTTCTTTCTCAATTTCTCTTGTAGGATCGAATGTGGAAATTTGAACTGGATGATGAATTTCCATAGATTTTTCGTTATTTGTTTTTTCAGGAAACTCGGAAGGCTCATTAAAAACTTCTTCTTCTGGTTCATATCTCTCCGGTTCGTCTTCATACGAATCGTCTAAAAACTGATTTTATCACTGACTAAGGAAATGTTTTCTCACTGAATACACGATGTGTCCTTCTCTTGGTTTTCGGTTCCTTATCAATCGGTGTACTAAATGCTTTGGGATCGAAATTTAAGGAACCATCGATGTTTTCGATATCTTGCGTCAGATTCTCACGAGGCGGAGTGTCTGGAAATTCGGATGATCTCATTGATTGATCAATAAATCTATGAATTACAGCTGAGCATCAATGGCCGATCACTTTGCGGTGGATACTGACTATTATTCATTCGACTGGTCAGAATCCTATTTCTCGTTGGTGTATTGAATACGCGGAATTCTGGAGGCCTTCTATTTTCTTCTGCTATCTCTGAAATCAAAGGTGAAGTTTTCTGAAATGTGATCAAAAACCCACTTCTAGCTTTTGCGACATTCAGTTGGAATGTCATACAAGCTGACATTTTGAAGTTTAGGACCGGCTTCGACACAAGTGCCTGAGCATCTGCTTTCTTCGCTTTCTTCATAGTAGCAATAACCTCGTTCTTCTTGGCTGGTTCTGCAATTCAAGACGGAATTAATAGTTATTACGGAGCTGGGAAAAATCTCACTGTTCATCATTGGAAAATTTCCAACAGTCTCCACACTCGGGCCTGGTCTAGATTCCGGAGGAGGCTGAGCTTCTTTCTTAACGAATCTTCCTCTCCCATTCCATTCACATTGAAACCCTTCCTCGTTGTACACCTCCATAGAAGAATACTCAGAGACGTTATACTGAGCAGCCTAAAATTAAACGAATTTTGAGAAGAAATTATTGCAGACACTCGCACGAGCTTCCGGTATTGTTCATCTTCGTCGTCAACTTTATCGGGGATTTCAAAGTTGCCCGCGTCTTCCTCATCACTTGAAACATGTTCGACACTAACGTCAGGAAAAACGTTTCTCTTCGATTGTTGTGGTTTTTTCTGAGGAACCTTCTTCTCCTTGAACCTGAGTTATTTTCGATAGAAGGAAAAGAAGAAAAAAATTACTTTGGTTCAGGTCTGTCGTATCTCGATGCAAAAAGTGAATATTCATGATACTCGTTCACTACACAGAAGTGAGACTCCTTTTTTCGTCGATTGAACAAATTCCGTTGTTTCTGCTCTTCCGTTAGCTTTTTCGGACCTTTTTGGGTTCCCGCTTTTTTCGGCGGCATTCTGGAAAACTATAATTGCAAAACAGAGAAAAAGAATCAAGAAACAACGAAGAGAATAACACGAAAAAAACACATTTCAAATGTGGCGCCGATAAAATGCAAACGCGCTCCAGTCTGCGCAATGGTTAGAGAGTAGAGACGCAGTGAAGATAGAAAAA